TCTTTAATTGATTTTTCCGTACATTTCTGCCATATGCACATTAACTGACAGTCACCACTGATAAGCTACTACTAAATATTGTAGAAACGTGATTTGCTGCAAAGTTGCTTTGCAATGATTTGTATCGTGAAAAGCGCTATACAAATAAACTTGAATTGAATTATATAATATAATTATATATTATATAATTGAAATAAATAAATAAATAATACTACTAGTAATGTTTGTGGGTCCATCTGTCATTTATTCTGTTGTTTAGCATACAGTACGTTTTCTGGTGCATTCAGTCATATGCTATTTCATTCATTGTATATTCATTCTTCAGTAATACCTATTTATACATTCTTCAGTAATACCTATTTGGAGATCATACTGCAATCCAACTATAAGAATCAGTAAAAGTTGAAAATGAAGGCTTTCAAATAAAATGTAACGTTAGGCCTGTATTAACAATTACATCTATAATCATACATTTACTGAGTTGTCTTCTGAATGGTCTTATTATGAAGCACACTCACACAAAAGTATTTTAATTCATTACAATATAGGTTACATCAAGGCTATTTTTACTTTGGAAGATTAATAACGTAGTTGTTGTTTGTACTGTTCCATTTACTTTCTTGTAGATGTTGTTGAGACAAAACGGGTAATTTGTATGTTTCGTCTCGTGTTAAATAACGTTTCAGAGGTGAAATGTGGGGTTTGTACTTTTAATGTCTCGTTAATGTGGATGTCTTAAGTAAAACGCGTCATTTGTACCTTTTCACTCCTGTTCCAGCCGTGTTTCTTCCTATTCTAAAGCAAAATGTGTGTGTAGCAGCGTCTGAGGAAAAACAGCAAACAACTAAAACCAACATAGGGAACTTGGCGTTGTGGGGTCCTGAAGGAGAAGGGACAGACAGAGCAGAGAACAAAAGTTTGCTGTTGTGCAGTCATGGATGAAGATTCTGAAGAATCGATAATGGAGGACAGGTCAGGATTTACGGAGGTATACTCAAGAAAGAAAAACTCAAAACGTAAAAAATCTTCTAAGGACCAGGAAGATAGTGGGGATATGGTGGTAACTACACAAGATACAATAAAAAACAACAACAAAGCAAATCAGGAAAATCCAAGAGAACAAATTGTACAAAATACTGAGGAGAATGGTTTTAAAGTTATGTTGACATTTGAAAAGAGTTCAGGAAAGCATTTGCATCCAATAGGACTATCCAAAGCGATCGATAAAATCATTGGAACAGTTGTTTTGGCTACTGAGTAAGTGGAGGAGACTTTTATTATTGCTCCTTATTTCTACACTTGGCAAATGACCCTGTCACACGAGCTACGTGCGCGTGAACACACGGTTACCGCGCGGATTAATAACGCACGCACACACAAGCTCTAAACGCGCGGCAGGGGGGTCCTGAAGGAGAAGGGACAGGCAGAGCAGAGAACAAAAGTTTGCTGTTGTGCAGTCATGGATGAAGATTCTGAAGAATCGATAATGGAGGACAGGTCAGGATTTACGGAGGTATACTCAAGAAAGAAAAACTCAAAACGTAAAAAATCTTCTAAGGACCAGGAAGATAGTGGGGACATGGTGGTAACTACACAAGATACAATAAAAAACAACAACAAAGCAAATCAGGAAAATCCAAGAGAACAAATTGTACAAAATACTGAGGAGAATGGTTTCAAAGTTATGTTGACATTTGAAAAGAGTTCAGGAAAGCATTTGCATCCAATAGGACTATCCAAAGCGATCGATAAAATCATTGGAACAGTTGTTTTGGCTAAATGTTTAGGACAAGGGAGAGTTCTGATAATAGTGAAAGATGTTGGACAAAAAAACAAACTACTAAAGATGAAAGAAATGAATGGGGAAAAGATTACATCCAAAGAGATTGGAGTAGCTAAGGTTGAAAAGGGGGTAATATATGGAATTCCAACATGTATAACCATGTATAACCATTGTTAATGTGAGAAGACTGTATAAAAACAAGGAAGGACAACGACAGGAAAGTATGAGTATCTTGCTGACATTTGAAGGGAAAATGCCCGAAAAGGTACTAATGGGATATATAAATTATCCAGTAAGAGTGTATGTCCCAGTGCCATTAAGATGTTTTAAATGTCAACGAATTGGACATGTGGCTGCAGTGTGTAGGGGGAAAGTAAGATGTGTAAAATGTGGAGGAGAACACGAATATGACAAATGTACAGAGGTGAATGGACTAAAATGCTGTAACTGCGGTGGTCCTCATAGTGCAGCATATGGGGGATGTGAGGTACAAATTAAAGCAAGAGAAGTTCAAAAATATAAGGCGGAGAATAAAGTCACTTATGCTGAAGCAGTGAAGGTCTGTGGAAGTAAGGAGGACAGGAGGGAAGAGGTAAGGGACCAAATCACACAAGATTCAAGGAACATCGAAAAGGGGAAAACAAAGGAGCCTGAATGTAAACATCAGTGTGCTATAAAAGAAAATGCACTAATAATGACAAAAGAGAACTTTCTAGCCTTTATTGTAAAGGTAATTAATGTAACTGCTATGCTGCCAAGTAGATCAGCCAAGATAAAAACAATTCTAGAAGCTGCAACAGAGTTTCTAGGGATCTCTGGGATTTCAGTAAACATGATTCATGAGATTCTTACTCGATCAGCAACAGTAGAAGCTTCCCAGGTTTCTGAGTAGCTTAATGGTGATAAGCGTAATACAATGGAATGCAAGGAGCCTCGTAGCAAATGGTCAAGAATTCAAAAAATTTGTATTAGATTTAGAATATATGCCAAATGTTATTTGTGTACAAGAGTCATGGCTCAAGCCAAATTTGCAGTTTGTATTACCAGGATATAAGTCTATTCGGAAGGATAGAGTGGGGAAACAAGGGGGAGGGGTTGTAACATTAATAAAAGAAGGAACTATATATAGGGAATTAAATGAGGTTAAGGATAATGAATGTGTTGTGGTTGAAGTATATTTTAGAGAAGAATCAATTGTGGTATATAATTTTTATAACCCATGTAAGAAGATTTCAATAAATTTGTTTGAAAATATTGAAAAAAGAAACAAGGAATTATGGTGTGGTGATTTTAATGCTCATAATTGGTTATGGGGGAGTAAAAATATAGATCTCAATGGGGAAGTAATAGAACAATTTATGGATGATAGAGGATTAGTATGCTTAAACACAGGAGAAGGTACTAGGTTTAATATAACAGAGAATACGGTATCAAGTATAGATTTAACATTAATATCAAATGGAATGGCTGAAATATGTGAATGGAAAGTAAGCAGTGAGAATACAGTTGGAAGTGATCATTTTCCAATTGTATGTAAAATAAATGTAAATAGTAGTAATACAGGGTGTTTTCTGCAAAGAAAATGGATGTATGAGAAAGCAGATTGGAATTCATTTAGCAAGTATTGTGAAACATATAAGGATATAGTAGTAGAAGATTCAGTAGAAACATTTTGCAACTCTATTACGAATTTAATAATGGAAGCTGCAACAAAATATATACCACAAAGAAATGCAGGACAGAAAAATAAAAATATTTCATGGTGGAAAGAAGAGTGCAGTAAAGCAATAGAAGAAAGAAATAAGGCATTTAAACAACTTAGGAAAATTATGAATATAAGTAATTTGGTGGAATACAAGAAAGCAAGAGCTAACACAGCTAACACGATTAAGAATGCCAAGAGAGAAGGTTGGAGAGAATTTTGTTCTACCATTGGAAAAGATACTCCTATGGATTAAGTGGTAGAAATAGAAAAGAAGAGGTTATAATAACTAGGATGAGACTTGGACACTCGGGATTGAACGCTTCACTGTTCATAACTGGAATACATGAGACTGGTCTATGTGGGAATTGTGGGGAGAAAGAAACAGTGGAGCATGTAATATATAATTGTACAAGGTATGATGAAGAAAGAAAGGAATTAATATCATATTTAAACAAAAAAGGTAAGGTAAATAAGGATTTGGAATACTTATTAGGATATGAGTTTAACAGAGATAGAGAAGGATACAGGATATTAATAAAATACATATATACTACTGGGTTAAGTGAAAGGATTTAAATATAGAATGCGGATGCTCTATTCTATTCTGGATCTTTAGGGGACCACGGATTTAGTCTGGAGGAGCTGAACACGCAGCGCCAGGTGGAGCCTGGGGAGAAGGAATGGGATGGAGCATCGAATAATTATTTAAGTAGGAATATTTGTGTATATACGTGTGTAAGAACAGGAAAAGCAAAAACAAGGAATAAATTGATAAATAAACCATGACTGCATAACAGCAAAAGTAGGTGGCGATATGCACACAGGATGTAACACGCCAAAAAACGGAAGAAGAAGAAGAAGAAGAAGAAGAAGAAGCATCGCCTGAGAGAAATTCGCGCCCTTCAGCCAACCAGCTCGCGCGGTCTCCAGGGTAACGGTGCGTTTGGTAACCACTGTAAACAAAGCGTCAAAACAGCTAGCGTCATGGCTTTCTGCAACACCGAGTATTTCGACCAGATTGGGAATATTCAGAAGAGCATGCACGAACGGTAAGAGCACAGTGCACTTTTTTCTTTCAGCTTAGACACACTAGATGATGTATTGTCTCGAATAAACATTAGGACATTTAAGTGGGCCTTGAATGAGGCAGCGCAGTAGATTTCAGCGCTCACCGAAATGTAGCTTTCAAACTCCGTTAGCGCGAGAGCGATAACCAATGGGAGTGCGCTGAGCGATTCGTTATAGCTTTTAAAATAACAAATACTTTATTAATAATCTGTGTGCGGTAGTGAGATCAATTATATATATATATATATATAAGTGATTTATTATTATTAGGGCTTCATGTTAATGTTAATTTAATGTTTACGCTAAAAAAAGTGCATATAGCTGCTAATTGTATTTGTTGTTTGTTGATTTTCAAATATAAAACTTATTGAAATGTGTTCAGTGTGTGTATCAGTTCTTTTTGAACATTTTCATCAAATTTTAACAAAACCGTGATAGTATTGATAATCGTGATAACGTTGGTCACTATAATCGTGATATGAAATTTTCAAATCGTTACATCCCTAATTAGTATGTCATATGTTTACTCGTCTGTCTTTTTTCAGCATTAAATAAGTTCGAAAATTAACTTGGCCTTCACAGATTATTGTATTTAGTATATCACAACATTTGTTCGCTCTCTTTTTTGTGAGAAGAAGTTATACTTAAAGGTGAATGCCGTATTATAAAGTTAGTATATGTGTTAACCTCCCTGGTTTAACTTGTTTAAACTATTTATTTAATAAGATCTATTTAAGCTATATATTATACCGGTAATACAAATTGTTTAAATACTACACATGAACTCTGAAAGCTGCAGGTGTATTAAGATTTATTTATTTATTTATTTGTTTATTTTTTTTCTCTGTATTTAGTGAGAGGAGGAGACATGAGCTGGAAGAAATATTGCTTGACTACTTAAGATCAGAGGAAAGATTGTAAGTATGAAAACATTATTTCGAACCTTACAAAAAGATATGAATAGTACATATCTTATCAAGAAACCTAAATGATAAATATATTATAATTTATCTTATCCTTCACCAGTATTCATATAGAACCCATTAAAATAAAATCATTGTATATATTTAGACAAAAATGCTGATAACTCGATGAATGTGTTTTGATGTGCATTGCTTCATACAGCACAGTTTTCAGGGCAGAAAAGAAATACTTATCTTCTTTCACTACGGTATTGTATTTATTGTGCTTTCATTTGTTTTACTTTGAGTAATTATTTGTCTTTTTTTCCTTTTATATATTTTTTATTATTGTATTGTCTGTATTTTAGTGACACAACTTTTGATGCTACTTTAGTTTATTTACTGTATCACAGATATAATAGGCATTCTCCAGTAAAAATGTTTATTTTTAGGACAAATAAGTAAACTAGTATACTCACTCATTGATGATTTGGTGATACTTACTGTGTCATCTGTTTCTTTTTAAGTGCTTGAGAACAGGATGATGGCTCGATTAAATGCTTTTATAAAAATAAAGAATTTTGATATGAGGCCATGATGGTCAAGGGTGTGTGAGAATTTAGTAGATCGGCATTTATCATTCATTTTAAAATTTCAGCCATCATTATCCATTTTCGCCCTTTGCTAGTTACAAAACTCCATCTTAGCTGTGGAGAATCCATTAGTACTACTGTAAAGTGGCCTTTGACACATATGCAGTGTTTTAGTTTGTCTTGTACTATGCACAGTGACGAGCAATTAGTTATACTAATAAGCTAGCATTAACCTATTTATAGTAATGTTTGACCTATTTGTAACGGGTCTCTATTTATTTCCATAAATACAAATTCAGTGCAGCCTTTTCTCAAAAAGAGAGAGAGAGAGAGTAGCAAAGCTGTCCGTTTCATGTCTGTCTCCTGCTCACAGGACTAAGTTGAAGTGTGCCAAGATGCGCTGCTATTACAAGGAGCTGCGCGAGAGAGAGCAGCAAGCAAAGACACGCAACCTTGAGCTTCTTGGAAATGTGGAGAACTTGGCATCAAAAATGAAAGAATTCTCCATTGATTGTAGCAGGCTACTTCAAAAGAGGGTAACAACCTTGGGCAGCTTCATTTGTCCCAATATTCATCATATGCGCTTCTTAAAACAGTATTGTTGTGCATATTTCACCGTTTTTATCATTGAATATTTACGTTTGATTTGGTTTAGACCAAATACATCAAATCAAACTGTCACTTTGGCAGCCCAGCCTGTGTTTTGGTTGTATTTTATTTTGCGTTATTCTCATGTCAAAACACATGTTTGCGTTGTTCTGATCATAGACGTGAAATGAAATGTGAAATCTTGTGTGTTATACTTGCCATGACATGCAGTGACCCAAATGACAGCTGCTCAGTACCAAAAATGTTAGTGTAGACTGAATATTTGTTTTGTATTTCCAAAAACTTTTGAGGCACTGATTTTTTTTTCTCCAGACATATATTCTGAGCCTCAATTAGACCATTGCCATAATCCTGTAATTGTCTGTCTAATTGTCTTCCAGTGTTTAAACATTCGCACTTGTTGTTTGGGAACAATCATAAACACTCCAGCACTCATTTATCACTGCACACAAGTGAGAAAAAGAAAACAACAGCTCTGTCAGATTGTCACTTAAAACTGAACAGTGCTCCACAGCTTAATATCAAATTAGACAAATTGTTTAATTACTCCACCACAAATTAATCGCCCTGTATTCAGATATTGAAGTGCCTCTGAATTTCTCTTTTTGTGAAAAGAACCCGTTTTCCTACTTTTTGTGTGTGTGTGTGTGTGTGTGTGTTTGTTATATTTTTTGTTGCTGCAATGGTTGCTTTGAATTACAGTTGGAAGAGATACCTGCTAATCTAACTGCCAATCAAGGAATATCACTTTGATTTTTATTACACTAAATTGATCCTTATTACTTAATTGCTCAAATTCACACCATGACCTCAACACATCACGCTCAAGTCTAAAACACTCTTTCTCTTTACCTCGCTGATGTTTTTTCTTCTCCACCCAGATATTAACAGTGCTAAGATTTGTCTGCTTGTAGCTGTGTTATCACGTCTAAATGGGTGAAAATGGTTTGTTACTCTGGTCCCTTTTGGGAGTGCAGACATTGTCTTATGAGAATGAAGTGGGAGGTTGGAGGTAATCCCAGTGCCCTCATCTCTGCCGTTGGTTAACTCGCCAAACTGATTAAGAGCCTTTGGCAGGCACTATTTAGGACACTCACAATGGAATACACACACTGATTAGTGCTACGTTTAGGGGCATAAACATATTTTTCTCTTCCATTTCTTTTTTTGTAATATTTAATGAAAAAAGGAGGTTATGGATTTGATTAAATTGTAATTTCCTGTGTACTTGTCTCATAACTGAGGTCACTGCAGAGGTTTTTGTTTGTTTGTTTTAAGAACTAGGACAAACTGTAAGTTCTATAAGAAAATGTTTTAGTCGTTTACATTGTTGAAAATAATCTATGTTAGTAATGATTTGACTTGAATTAATTTCAGTTGGAGTACAATAATCATATTACCAGACTGAAGAAAGACCGGAAGAAAATGGGGAGCAGGGGGGAATCAGAAGCGGACGAGGTAAGAGAAAATGATCGTGTCATCTATGGAAATTACAGTTCAGTGGGGAATTTACAAAGCTATCTGTGTGCCTTTGATAAAACTGCAGTGCTGTGATGGGATCCAATGGAAGTGTGTCGTTTTTTCAAAAGAAGAGAGTTGAGAGTTGTAGAGAAAAATACCACAACCATTATTCAGCTCAGCCTCCCTCTTCAGGAGACACTTTTGACAGTTTATATGGGGTATCAGTGTTCAAAGGCCACAATTAATTTATAATCAAAAGCAAATTGGAAAGTGCTTGAAGTAATTACTGTTTTGCTCAAATGACTTCAAATGACTGCTTTGGTTTAACAAAGGAGTATCACAGTCTTAAAACAAAATGATATTACACATTTTAAAAGGCTATTTAAAATGAGGAAAAAAAGAGTAAAGGAAAGAGTATTGCAGAAGCCCCTAATGCAATCCAACTGACCGTGTGTCATTTTTCTTTGTGATGGTCTGCAGTGTTTATTTCACGTCATGTGTGTGACAGCTAAAACAATATGCGTCCAAACTCTTTCTGTCAGTCCCTCGAATAAAAGTCGCTGTTATGTAGATTGCTCGGCGGCGGTCGTGAGGCTGTCCATTTTTCTCGTCGTATCTGTAGTGCCGCAGGTGTCTAATCCTAGCTGCTTTGCCCACACTGACGATGTAGTTCAAGCCTGTGGCTGTAGCTTTCCCTCTCTTCAAGCGACTCGAGCTCTCTTGGATGAAATGTGGAAGACAGCTTATAATGACTTAGAGCATTCCGTCTAGAGCAGTCACTTGTGACTGTGCCGCATCCCACCCCTCCCAAATCCCCCCCCCTCCCTCCAGCCTGCCGATATTGTAATGAGCAGAGATGGGAGGAATCACTCCATTATGCATAGGCGTCACCACTGGCTGCGTGCATGTCCCCGAGGCTGCAGCATTCATTAAGGGGAGCTTACCAGCCTGAAAGCTGGGAAGCCATGATAACGGGATATGATTTTCATATTTAATATATTCCTTGGAAGAGCTGGCGCGTGCCGCAGATTGATAGAAGAATCAATTGCTACTTTAGCGAAACACTTTCTACTTTGCCCTGCAGCTAGCGATGGAATCACTCAGCCAAGAAATTAACTTTTCCTCTCACTCCATTTCTTTTTTCCTTTCTTTCTTTCTTTTTTTTACTTCTACACTGGATCTGCCAGACAGACTGCGTGGTTTACAGTGGATGTTATTAAGCAGCTAACAGGCTGGTATTTAAGACCCTTATCAGAAAAGAAACAGATGCCATGTTTTTTTTTTGTTTTTTTTTATGAGTTGATTTTTTTTTTCTGTACCCATCCGGCACTCTTCCTCCGTAGTGCAGTATTTCTGTCATGAAACAGAGTTTAGGAGCAGAGGATTGTTAATAAGATTAAAAGTTAAGCCACTGATCTCAGTGCACTCAGCTGAACAGACAGTTGGAAGAAAATCTAACCTTGACCAAAGAAATCCTAGTCAGTCTGTAAAAAGCCACAAAAATGATACCTTGAAATATTTTGATTAAAGTTTATTTGAAAAGAAGCCACTGTAACCTGAATTGTCAAGGTTGGGTTTTGGGGCCAAGGACTAGTGGAAGTAAAGCATGAGAGAATGATATATCAGAAATGTAGCTCCCACTTGCTGGCAATAAGGTATCCTTGACCACCCAATTAATTTTTCACTTTTTAAACCTCTTGACTCAGTGTTCTTGACATACCTTTTTTTGTTGTCTGCAGTTTTACTTTCTTTCATTTTCATGAATATAGAAAAGTAGTATATCACAATTTTACAGATATATTTGAAAAATATTTAACTTTTTACATTAGTCAAAATATTCAGAAACTCTTCCCATATGTATTCAAAAGGACATGCCTCAAAGGGTTACTGTAATTCCCCTTAAAATATTAGCTTACCCAAAAATTCTCTCACATTTGTGTTTTTCCAAACCCATAAGACTTTCTTTTCTCTGTTGTACATAAAAGGAGATTCTTGCACATGACTTGTGTACAGTATTCAAAATCTGTCATAACCGGTTGCTACGTATATGTTGTGTTCCACAGGAAAAAAGAAAATCATAGGTTTGGATGGTGTGCTATTTTAGAGCTATTGATATACTATTGTAGTTTTTGTTAATATTTGAATACATTTTTTATTATTATTTATTTATTTAACGTTTTTCTTAGGGTCTAAGAAAGATCAGCAAATCAATCATTGTTGGCTGTTCCGCAGTCCAAAAAGAAGTCAAAAGGTGATCGTTTTTTTCGGTAGTAGGCCCAAAATTGTGGAACAGTCTCCCCCTTTATATTCGGCAGGCTCCTTCTATAGAGGTTGTTAGGTCTCAGTTGAAGACACATTTTTTTAGTCTGGCTTTTGAAGTAGGGAAATTTAGATTATGGGAACCCTTACAATTGTCTGTTTTATTTGTAAGTTATGTGTGTGTATTTGATGTTTATTCTTAATGTTTGTGAAGCACATTGGGCAACAAAGTTGCATTTAAATGTGCTGTATAAATAAATAGAAGTTGAAGTTTCTAGATTTGATAAAGTTTTAGTTTTCATTATTCGCTTATTTAGTTTATTTTAATTATTTCAACTTAAACCAAACAAAAATAAGTAATGCTGGCAACTGGCTGAAATAATTGTTTTTATATTTTATTTAAATATTTAAAATATACAGTATATTTTATATGTATTTTGGTTAATGATTGTTTTATTTCAAGTAATAAAATAGTTCTTTATGGTTTTGGTTTTAGTCTTAGTTTGGAACAACATAAAGGTAAAATTTAAATTTTTACGTGAATTGCCATTAACTCCTGTCTTCAATTACTTACATCCACCATATATTGTTTGACTTGCACAGCTCCCGAGCAGGTTCCAGCTTCCCAGCATACAGGGATCATCACAGAGTGCTGTCATCTTCACGGGTCACCATACCTCCAACGGCTCATCAAGAAATGATGGTGTCACAACCACACGTTCACCATCTCAGACAGAGCTGATACCTAATCATCCTTCACTCTCTCCTCTACAAAGTGGCCTTTGTATGCACTCCCATGTTTTAAAAGCCAGTGGCATTGTCATTTTATCTGATGACATTCTAAACTCAGGTGATTTCCTTGAGGAGAGACATTTGAGTGACGTGCGTGAAAAGCAGATGGAGTCTGATTGGGACGTCTCTCAGAGGGCAGGAGAGCGGCATAGATGTGAAGAACTAAACTCACCTCACACGACCCTGAAGGAAGCTGAAGTGTCCTCTCTATCTGTGACCGCGAAGAAGCCTGCAGACATTGTGTCATTAGAGCGGTATCTGAACCGCAGTCCTTCCCCAGATGCCACTGATCCAAGAGATTCCTCACAGTACATGAACTCTGGAGGTGAGGATGAGGAAGGTGACTCCACGCCAAGACATCAAGATCTTTCAGGTTTGAATTTTCTGCTTAATTAACTGCAATTCTACATTGTGATTAAGCAGATTTATTGATATGACGTGACACTTTTTTTTTTGATTAGCCCATTTTAAGAATTATACATAATCATCTACACATTTCAGATGACACCAACAGCAGACATCACGCTTTGAGAGGAGATGTTGTAATTCAAGAGCAAAGTGTAATACCCTTTCAAACCAAAGGTGGCACACACAAGCAGGTCAACACACAGGAATCTGGAAGGCTTCACTCTCTCGAATCCCCCAACAGGTACAGTTGCTTGGATTGTATGACTAATTTCTTCCTTCTGAACACAGCCAGAAACTCTATGGACCCAAAGACTGGCCCTACTGAATGTTTGCTACTCCAAAATAGATTGCTCATTATCGATGCAATCACAGTATTGTATTCTCTAATCTAAGTTATCGCTTGTCTGTTCTGTAGATGCCTCTGATTATTACTCTAGAAGAAATGTTGTGATTTGTAAGTCACAAAAAAATGGAAATTGCAATGAGTGAAATCATTTATCAAAAAAAAGAATAAATGTAGGGCAAGGAACTTGGTTCTGTTGAGTGGATTTTGAAACTTGGGACAACTTTTGAAACTTCAAAAATAGATGCAAACATGCGGTCACTTGTGGAGGGCCAAAGTTTAAGCAGACTGATTAAGAAGTCCGGCATACGTCAGCAGAGAGAAATGTGTCGTTTTCACTGGAAGATCGAGTTTGATCATTTTGATTAAACATTATGAGGTCCAAAAGAAAAGAAAAAAACATACATGGAAGAATCGTTCACAAAAATGTATTTTGAATTTGTATTTCACACCGACTTTAAATTTAGATGTAAATGCCATTATGTTCTTGAGATTTAAGGTTTGCTAAAACATTTCTTTATTGCATTAGCATGCCCAGATTAATTACAAATAAGTTTTATAAACTGATTTATAAACATCCCTGCAACAAGATTAAAGTTTTTTTTTTTTTTTATATATATATAAATATGTTCCTTGAGGTTCACCTATAATGTTCATAAAAAAAAAACGAAAACAGTCATTTGTAGCCAAAATGATCCTCTGTCTGAAATGATCTGTTTTAAGGATGCGGCTCTTTTAACGCTTTAATTGCCTGGAAAGGCAATTACATGGGAAAAAATATTATTGTCACCACTATTGCACATGCTGTCAGATCCAATGCAATAATGGCTACTTCATCTTTCAACAAAAGTTTCTTTGTGAACTCTTTTTTACACTCTGCTTCGTTTGTAAAACAGTCTGCAGTCAAATGTTCCAAACAAACATATAATCCTCAGATGATATCTGGGATGCCATTAAAAATAACCTATCCACTGTTCCTGATGCTTCCTTCTGAAGGCTGTACAGACGCAAACATGTTGTTTAAACAGGACGAGTCAAAGCTAACGCTCCTGTACTCTTCCGTTTGTCCTATTGTCAGCAGTAGCTCAAGCGTGTGTCATAAACTGAATGCTCATTTGTATACTGTATACAGTGTAGACAGCGTCAGTACTTATAATGGGTTCTGTTTGCTTTTTCTATTTATTGGTGTAGCCAGGTGCCAGCTATTTAGTTGACTAAAAGCAAGTGGGTGTGGCCAGTGGTGTGATGATGTAAACTAATCGTCACTAGGTGTGTCCGACTTAAAGGGGTCATATGATGCAATTTCAAATTTTCCTTTCTCTTTGGAGTGTTACAAGCTGTTCGTGCATAGAAAGAGATATTCTTTATAAAAGTTAAGACTTGTCCACGCCCTCCTAAAACGCCTCGTTTAAACACGCCCCCACATGTCTACGTCACTGTGTGGGAAGATTTGCATAACACCGCCCAAATGTTCACGCAAAGAAAGAAGGCGTAACGTTTATTCTCGCTGTAGTATTGTTGTTGCCGCCATGTCGTGGAGACTGTAAGTACGTTTTTTATATTTAAAGAATTTGCCACTGACGATTCAAACGCGAGTTTTGAGCAGTGTAGAGTAGCGCTTGTGGTTTGTCTTTTCTCAGATCACAAATGCAGACATGGTTTTATGTTTATGCAACGCGTAAAAAGACAGTATAAGTCATTATAATCAGTAATTATGTCCCCACTGGATGCAACAAATGCCTCATTTGTAATGAGTTTTATTGGTGTTGTCTCATCGCGCCGGGACACGGCATCACAATATGGTAAGGGGCATAACATTTCCGTCACACGCTTGAGGTATTCAGCCAATCACAAACGCACTGGATAAGCTGGCCAATCAGCGTACACCTCGCTTTTCAGACCGATGAGCTTTGTAAAATTCGACGCGTTTCAGAAAGGCGGGGCATAGAGGAGAAACAATAATGTACATTATGTGAAAAATCATGTGTTTTTTAACCTTAAACCGCATAAACACATTGCATTACACCAAATACACAACATAATATTCTTTTTAGCAACATCATATGACCCCTTTAAATTGCACTGCACAGACCGATCTGTGGATGACAGCCATGGAGAGATATAGGGAGCAGACATCTCTGTATGCTTTTGAATTACTCTTGCGGTACTTTGATGTCATACATGATCAGTCTGTGCTGTGCGATTAAAGTCGAACACACCTGCAGTATGCTGTATCCCAATTCGCCTACTTATACTAGGCCCTAAAAGTATGTACTCTTTTTGTGCATAAAAAGTACATACTTTTGAGTATGTAGCAGAATAGTAAGCAAGCTTTGGGACATAGTCATAACTGTGTCTTTAATTAGTTAAAGCTGGAATACACTACACAACTTTTAAAATCTGAAGAGATTTTAAAACGCTAGGCATCATACATTTACCGACTTTGTAAACAGTCACAAAGGAAATTCTAACTGGAAGTAGTAGACCATCCGGGAATCTTTGGCATACACTTTTTTTTTTTTTTAACATGCTACGATTTGGGACATACCAATTCTGTTTTCAAATACTATTTAGGACGGATAATATGCGAATTTGGACGCAGCCCAAGACTTTAAAGTTGTTCCAATCACAACAGACTGATGCAGAAATGTGCACCTTGTTGCTAGGAGACCAGTGTTGGGCAAGTTACTTCCAAAATGTAATACATTATATATTACTAGTTACTGTCTTTTGAAAGTAATTAGTTACATTACAATATTACTGTCTCTGAATTGTAATGCGTTACACTACTTTTGAGTTACTTTCACCAAAATATCCACATAAGTATTACAAAATGCCAAAATGTAGTTTATTGCTGCTCATTCTACATCTAGTGGAGGGTAATGTGGTAGGTCTATATAGCATAAAATTATAAAATCATATTTAGATACCAGTATAGGTCTACGTTAGGTTAAACACAGATAAGCACAAACCACATTATTACATTCATAAATAACACCGGTAAATAAAGCTAAATGTTATAATATACAAACAATAAACACAATAGGCCTACCTAGCCTATAGGCTATTTTGAACAGTTTCAGAAGAAAACAAGAATGTAGGTCTACATTAATGTTACGTTGTAGTCTAGGTTAAAAAGGATAAGCACAAATCGCATTATTACATTCATAAATAACACCGGTAAATAAAGTGAAATTATCATGTACAAACAATAAACACAATACCTAACCTATAGGCTATTTTGAATGGTTTCAGAAGAAAACAAGAATGAAAAATATAAGTTGCTAAACAAGCCAAAACAAATTAGGCTGGCTAATTCAATGCAAAACTGAAAGCAAATGGCGTTCTCGCGCAGCCTACCTCTCTCATTCGGCATTAATCCAATTAAATGTGTCCATATTTGCGATGTATTTGAATGCAAAACTATTATTTATTATGTAAACCAGGCTTAGCTTAAAAAACATCCTCCTCACATGAGCAAATGTGTGTTTGGCCTGAGCTCAGGCTGAACGGCATGGATTGTAACTACGCAGTATGCACTATTTAAATTACCCAGTGTATCTAGGCTATATGTTTGGTTGACTGTATTTTATTCTGATAATGAACAGGCTGCAACATTTGCAATGTTGTATGTGTGTGCGTGAGGCGCTGGCGCGATCGAACAGCGGAAACAAACAACAAAAAAATATTCCGTCATTTTTGGTCATAGAGTTAATTCGAAACTGCAACGTGTTTACTTTTATTTCTGTCATCTCGGTTTCCTTTCCGTGGACTTTCTTTCGTAGAGCGCTGCGCCACACAAATAGCCTATGAACCAAACTCAGCAGCACATGTCTCAGTCTTTTCCTTTCGTTTTGTTAATCTGTTAATTAGGCTATTTAAGTCAAATATTTCGCATATTCATTCATTTTTATAGACTATGATTTAATAAAAACAGATTTTGTTATTTTTAGTTAAACTTATTTTTGTTGCTTGTCTGCGCTCGTCCGCCACCTTTTTTCTCTTCTCCGACCCCGCAGCTCTCTCCGATAACTCGTGCTATTTCTCCATGTTGAGAGTTTGGTGTCGCACATATTGCACCTGACTATGCATTCTTATCCTTTTCTCCGATAAACTGAAAATAACAGGAGTATGTCCATCTCACAAATGTAGAATCCGTCTCTGCAGTCATCCATTTAATTCCAGCAACAGGAAATAGACAAACTATTTTACCCGCGGAATTTTTTTCTCTGCTGCTGTTTTGCGGTGTTGGTAAATTCACCACTTAATTTTGAGTTAAAATGTTGTTGTAACTTGCGTTACTGAGATTGTAACGAGTAATAATATTACCCAAATTGTATTAGTAATGCGTTATATTACTGCGTTACAGCAAAAAGTAATATACTACTGTAATATTATTACTTTTGTAATGCGTTACTCCCAACACTGTAGGAGACGCATGACAAATGAAAACTTGTTCTAAAACCGTCTGAAAACATTAAAACATGTTTGATATCCTCCCGACTGGATGGAATCAAAGTCTGAAGCTAATAAATCGGAGTCTATGACCATCATACACTACACGATTTTCTATTAAATCTGTCAACTGAAATCTGCAGACTGGCTCTGACTTTTTGCAACTAGACTGTAACTTCTCCAGACTGTAAATCAGCGGAAAATCGGGGAGAAAATTGTGTAGTGCATTCCAGGCTTTTCGTGCATTCTATCAGCGTTTAAATTGCCCTGTCAATCATATTGTCACAGTTATCATCATCCACATTGTTTAATTTGATTTCCTACCGTATTTTAGAGAAAAGAAGAGGCACGTTGATCTGCCAGTCGCGGGTCAATCATGCCGAGAACTCTCCTCATGTGTCTGAATGATGCATTTAAAAGTTAATGACCAAACGTATCTTTAT